GATCGGTAACCCTCGGAAAAGCTGAGCTTCGACCCGGATTCAACACCGTTTCCACGGAGAAAATTTTCTCCGCCTACCATCCGACGTGCCGGGCGCAGCGTAATGGGAGTGGAAACGTTGCGGAACCCGCGAGATGTCCTACGAAAATCTGCACGCTTGGAATGACTTATAGGAAGTTGGAGGTCTAAGTTAGGGATGAGATCTAGAAAGTAGATAGAACATTTTGGGATCTACCAAATGGCATATGAACATTGTAAGAACCTAGAACTTGAACTCTAGGATATAGAACTTTTCAGCAAAGAGATGTAATGCAATTATAGATTAGAAAACACTTCCTCTCTAAACGTTCACTCTCAGCGAAGCGTCTTCGAATGAACTTCTTCAACGTGGAAGCACTTCAGATCGAGCGACAGGCATCGTGCTTTATACTTCATTTCAAATTCTCAAGGATAGTCTGGCTAGAATAATGTTCAGGATCTTGATGCAAATCCTCCGAGCCGAACACGAGATTTCCGAAGATACTTCAACATTTCTAAGCCTGCGGCGAGAGTTCCGTCCGTGAAGATCACGCTGGTTTCTCAGCTCGAGGGAAGTTGTAGTCACTCGTAGCGAGGATTCCGCTTTCCTTCGATAGTGAGTCACGATCCAACATTGTTGCAAACGCGAGCGGGGGTTATCGTGTCAATCGGGGTGCCGGTGGAATCTTATCCGAGTATTTGTCACGGAACCGGCGTCACGGCCAGTCCCCGCTCGGCAGCCATGAATGCCTAACACGAGCTAAATTCGCTCTCGCGTTGCCGGCCCGGGCTTCTCTCGGGCTTTTCCCCCGGTTCAACCCCGGTTATGCAACCGTGGCCGTGCTCGAAAACAAGTGGGACGCCTTATTTAGAATATTTCGTAGCCACGGTAATTCGATTATCGCTGATCGACCGTAATCGCGACCGCTACGATGAAGGGTGGCTGGGAGCACGGACGAATGCGGGCCACGGGAAAGCATTGTTGCGTATTAGATTTCAGGCTGGTAATACTTCGATCGAATATTCCCAGACAAAGGAACCGGCTACAACAGTTGAATGCCTTCAGTCGAAACCAATCATTTATCTACATTATTATTAGATTGCCAATATCTGTGAAGATAAGATTCTTATCGGTTAATTTATTGAAACTGCTATCGTTTCGAACTATCTCTAAGGATTCCATCACGGAAAGAAGAGAAAAAACATATTAAATTTCGCGGTGTACAGTTTCAGAGATGATTACATAATCATCGAATACGCGTTCCAATTATCGGACTCCGCAAGATTGGTCAGCAGGGTGTCGCGTTGTGTTCCCTGTCAGGCTACATATGAATTAAACGAGCAGGATAAAAGACTCGTTCCCGGTGTACGCCATTTCTAGACACTCTCCGGACGCGTCGATACAATTTACCATTTCATCGATCGCCAGATAGAGTTCACTTTCTCGATCCAGCCACTCCGGGAACACCTGTTCGAGGCGGGCCGCCGCGGCGTATTCAAAATTTCGCTTCTCACGAGAGCCGGATCGAGCGAAATGCCAGTGATCCGCGAGATTTGCGGGGGTGTCCGGATCGAGACAAATCGATGATCCCCGCTGGTACGATCACCGTTACGTTCCGCAAGATGCAATTGTGCAAAGGTAACGATCGGTTTTCTTTCCGCGTGGAATGCCGCGGAGAAGGTGCATTCTGAGCGCACCCACCGATCCCGCGGCGCGACGCGACGGTACGGGGGAGACGGGCGGGCGCGCGTCGCGCGACGCAACAAGGACAATGATACAGGATCGACGATATAGAAATCGCGGCGAGTTAGACGAACGATCGTGCGGTTCGGTGGTGAGATTGGCATTGCCGTGGCGAGAAGAAGGAGCGAGGATGATCGCGATAAAGAAACAATCGAACCGCGTCCCGCCCACGGGTCCGCCAACATTCAATTGTGCCTTTTCCCTCTCTTTTCCGCGAGCCACTCTCGGGCACGCTCTCGGACCGCAGACACGACGTGATTCTCTTAACGGTACAACCCCCGCAGAGAGCGGCCCCGCGCGCTCATTGTTCCAGCCTGTTCGAACGGTTTTTAATTCGACAACAGGTAATCCTATTTTTCAACGATGCAACAGTCGGCAACAGGATCAAATGGGCCTAACATCGTCGAAGAGAATTCTGCTGCAGCTCGATAGAGACGAGTGGTTCCCAGAGACAAGAGGGAGGAAGAGAAACAAGCAGGAAGTGGATCAGATCGGGAACGATCGAGGATTCACCGGATCATAGTTCAGATGTAATCTCGGACTAGGTGGATCAACGTTACGCAACCCCCAGGGATGATTCAGTGCGGCGAAACATTGTCATAGCAGCGTGACGCTCGTTTCGCCGGGTTCGGTAAATGGAATCACGAAGCGAATAACACGGCGGAATGATCGATTCGTCTCCCGGCTTACCTGGAAACTGTGATTCTTCGATTCCAGCCTCCAAAGCGCTTTCATTAATTCATCGACCCGAAGACACACCGGTGTCCGAACCATGTTTGCTACCAGCGGATCCAAAATGTCCTCTTCTCGGCTATTCATCGGCATTAAATTCCTAATGAGACACCTGCCCGTCACGATTACTGACGCGATCCTGACACAGCTGGAAAACACGTTAAATATTTAGCGTCGAATATGACGCGAGTGACTACCCCTTCGTCGTATTTTCCTCTTGTCCTCGCCAGGGGGTGTACCTAGCGATGATGACTGGATAGCTTAGCATCCCTTGTTTCCGACGATGGCTGCCCGTCGACGTTACAAGCGACGCCGGGACGATTAAACGAAGGGGAACGTGTTCCTCCCGGCCTTCCAGTTGTTCTTCATCATTATCATCATCCACCTCGTCCCCGGCGTCCCGCCCCGGCGCGTCTTCCGCCGCGGCGCGCGAGACTTTCGAAATCGACCGGTCGCGTTCGATTCGTGCCACTCGCTCGCTCCACGCCGGAGCATCGGCGTTTTCCGCGACGTGCAAAGGTCACCGCAACAGGCCCCGCAGCGCAGCTAACGCTCTCGGGAAAGAAGACGCGAGTCACCGAGCGCGTACTCTTACGAGGGGAGGTCAAGCTAAGGTAACTGGTAACCCGGCTCCTTCCCTCTCCTCCCTCCCTCTCACCTTCGCGCCTCGCGTTGTAAACTAGTACTCGTCTCTTTAGTAATACCCGCCGGTGTACCCTAGCTGCCGAGCATCCAAGATACTTTTAGCCACCTGAGACGACGATGGAAACGGGTTTCCATCCTTAATTTCCACGTCGACGAAGAGACGGACAGATCGGTCTCGCAAGGAAAGCGGCTTCTTTATGATCGAAACTATGTTGCAGTTTCAACACAGTTGTTAGCCGAGCGTCTGTCAATCTTCGACATTCCCGTGACTTCGTTTTTGCGGTTGAACCATTGGGATCGGGTAGCTAAATCGCTCGTAGCTCATCGTCAACATCGTTGTTTCTTGCGTTCGATTTGCTCATTCCGGTGTTTAGAAAAATTACATAAACGTGGATGATATCCGCTAATGAGGTAGACCCTGGAGCGCAGTATCCAACTGGGAAAAGAGGAGATCCTGGACGATTCGTGATGGTACTCGTCGGTCTATCCCGACGATCGTGCTGTCGGGGATAGGTCGAGCAAGGGGGGAAACGTGAGGAGGGACAGGGGAGAAAAAAACGTCGGAGAAGAAGAAACGGGCGCGATATCGCGATGCAATCATCGCTCGTTGGAACGACGATGAATCTGCATTATTCGAAGCCACGGCGAACAGAGTACGCCGCGGCAACGAGCCTCTAGCCACGTACCTCGGTCCCGGGCATCGTCATCTTTATCCTAGGCCAAAGTTCTACCCACTTTGCAACCCCCCGCTGACCGTACGCCTTTTTCGATACCGATTATTGCGCCGATCGCACGTTCTTGATACAAAGCGGGCCGGCTCGAATAGGCGCTCCGATGCGGCGGGAACGCGTGGGAACGCCTTCCAGTTACGTCCGAAGGCTTTTCTTTTCATTCATTCCCACGTTTCCGCAACGGCGCATTGACGAATATTCCGGCGGTGCCCGATAACCCGCGGTATCGATCATCGTATCCGGGGAACCCCAACAATGCCCCCGAATGTCTGCCGGCGAATCGATTTCGCTTCCATTTCCCGCGAACCGGAACGTTTTCATCCGCATCCACCGAAAACCGAAGGGTTTTCGTGAAAATTGAAAAACGCAACGATCTCTGCAGTGGCCCCCCCGGTGATTTACACGGAAATTCGCGGACAGAGATTGTACACGTAAAATATGAAACCCGGGTAGCGTGTAGGATCGGCGGTACCGGTGCAACAACTTTCTAGAGTGTGGTGGAGCCAAAAAAGAGCAACCGACACCAATGACGGTGGGTGAACACACCGCGGCTACCTGCCGACCGGTGGAAACGATTTCTTTGAGAGTATCTAGCTGGGTTACGCAATCGGGCCGCGATTGTGCATATTCAGCGTTTACAATGCGGGACGGTCAGAATCGATTTCATAGAGAATTACCCGGCGGCGTGTCGGCGGGGGCCAACCGGAGGCTGCCGCGGCGAACTCCGGATAGCATACCAGCCTGTCCGCGATTTTTCTGACCCGCGAGAGGTTTCGATTTGCGTGACGCAATGCTCGCGGCAGAATCTCCTCGCCGTCGCGATTTTTTCGTTGGCGTCCCATCCAGCGCGCGCTCGCGCGATACAACACCCGGTTGCTTTCACGCGCGATCGGAGCCACTCGTTTCGAGATCAACCTTTCCCCTTGCTACCGTGACTTTATCGGTGCCGTAGTCGCACGATTGCGCAAGTCGTTCGAAATCTCGAAGCTTTCGACGGGATAATTAATTTCTTTCGGATATCGATGGAAAACAGAAGTGGCAACGGGGAGAATCGTGTCTGGCCGGTTTATCGAATGTGTCCGTCGCTGGATTGATGGTTGATTGATTAGGTAAAGAAAGACCTGCCGAGTCTGCGTGAGGACGGTTGCCATCGCGTCCGTAGTTATTATTCTGTTTTTTGTACAATAGAATATAATTCGTTCCAGCAGTTATTGATGCCGTGGTGAACACTGATGAATGAAACGCACGCCGTTGGGATCTCGTTAATCGTGCCGATGGATTTTCCTCCCCGTGGAAGGCGTCCCTTTCTAGAAAATGCCAGTCCGCCTTCTTTCGCACGCGGCGTGCCGATTATTGATTAATCGAGTTGTTGACTCCGCGCTTGCTTCATCGAATGATTCTTCCGATCGAACGGGCAGAACGCGTAGGTAGACCGAGGTATACTTAGGGTAGGGACACAGGTGCTTCCTTTGAGGCACACTTCCTCCTTTATATAATACGATTACGAGGTAAAACTAAGTTTAAAGTACTGCCGATCGGGTCCTCGCGATGGGTAGCGGTTGCTGCTTCGTCGATGGCCGACCCAGGGGCCTCATCAGTTCTCCAGGAACGACACGAACCGCGTCAGCTTGCGCAACTGGTCCTCCGTCAGGACCTCGTTGTCCAGGATACATTCTTCAGTCTCAATCTTGCGCGGCTGCACCATCGTGCCGTCGATGGACCAGCCTTTCTCGATCGCGGCCCTGCGCGCCTCCTCTTGCGGCAAACCCGTCATCGACGCGAACACGTTCAGGCCTAACGACGAGTACGCCTTCGATACCAAATTTACTGCCCTTTCACGTACGTTATCTGAAAGAAACAGTACACGTTCATCGATCGATGTGAACACGTCGAGCTTAACTTGACAGAGTTGAGCGCGCGCGGTCTTCGTAGTAACAGACTCGATTACAATGGAGGCAATAACAAGGGAGATTAACGTTCTTCAGAATCATCTTCATTTCGATCATTTATCAAGTCCAACTTTATCTTTCGAACCGTTTAATATATTACGATAAGAGTCTGAGCATCCTTTCATCCCTTATTTATTTCCATCGTACACTCCTTTCACTTCTTGCTTCCAGCAATCATTCTTTAGCTCATTCATCGTTCATTCTCCTCGTGTTCATTCAGATTAAAATATAATTCTTCGGTGATTTCGAGGATGTTGCTTATACTAAGGTACCTTTCAAAGCAGCCATTATGTCCGAGACGTCTTTGCTCCACTCCGCGTTGAGGGCAGCGTGAACGGCGGACCAATCCCGTTGCCACATGCACTGGCCGACAACCCATATCTGTTTGAGCTCCGAGTTTCCGGTCTTCACGTCCGCCGGTATCCGCTTCCATAGGTACTTCGCGTTGCATCTGAATTTTTTCAATCGGATCAGCGGATGTTCGGGGATCTTCGGCGGTCGGCTGGATGGAGTTCACGCAACGAAGGATCGGCAGGAGTGAAATTGAATCGGGGGATCCACGGGTATAAATCACGCCGGCCATTCCGGCGGAACCGTGAAAACGGAAAGTGGGAACGGAAAGAGAGCGGACCGTACGGGTAACGTTTTCATTCCGTTGAACCATAAAGCCGAATGCATAGCGACGCCGTTAATTAACAGTAAATGAAGTTACTGCGAAACGTACGCCGCGCAATAAATATAATGGCGTGACCGGCGGGGCTTGTAATAAATTACGAGGTGTACGCGTTCTACGTAAACGCGATAAAAACCGGCATGCAACTTAACTGTAAATCATCGGTCTGACGTAAGATAAGACGATCTCACGGCGAAAATTATTTCGATTGCCGAGTACGCGCGATGCGGTCCAGAACGTCGATAATTCATCGCGAATCCAATGATTTTTCGGATAAGACCGAACGCAGATTGAAAAGAAGAGGATACGATTGATTTCCGTTTCAAATCTGGCGCCATTACTTCGACGCACACGAAACTACGCGCTAGGTGCGCTTTAAATTCGATTAAAAAAATTAATGTGTACTGTACTTACGTTTCGGCTAAATAAAAATATGAAATAACGAATAATTTGTTGCTGATAAGCGATATTAACGAATTTCATTATAGTTTCGTAAACATCGATCTTCAAGTTAGAGATGGCGGCGACGCGATATACACAAATGGATATTTCTTCAAGAAAATGGCAGGGAAAACGGTATTATTTGCCCAGAAATGTATATTAATTATACTTCTATTAGTTACTAAGAGGTATATGTGAAAGGCAACAGGAAATAATGTAAAAGATGATAATGTAAAGACTTACAAATCGTTTTGGTAGAGGTATACAGCTAATAATTGAGCATAAGTCCGTGCTGAGGTAACTCCGCTAGGGGCCTGCAAGGAAATATTTAGATAGTTATATTTCAGATAATTTATTCATAAGGAAACAAAAAGAAATAATCGCGATAGACGGCATAACCTATACGAATAGATCGAACAGCATACCTCCAATTCAGCTTTCTCTAGCTCGCGACAAAATGTATCCACGTCGTTCAATACCATGACGGGATTTCGTTATTTCTTCGGCGACAAAAATGACTCAGAAGTGATGATGTTAACAATACGCACCAACATTGAAACAACGAACGTCAAACGAGAAATCTAAACAGCTGAGGACTAAGTACAAACATCGGACTTACGAGCTGCGGAGTTTGGACATCGTAGATGGAGCCACCATCCAGAGCCATTTCTAAATCCCTACTATACAAGCGTCAATAGAATCGTATTTTTCAGATTTCTATTGTTCATTTTTGTCGAAAACAATTCTATACTAATAGATATTGATATATAAGGTTTATAACTGTCTAAAAGGTGATTACAATTGTAAATACTTTAAATGACCTGTCCTGACCTTACAATTTGTTAAATGAGAATTGTCATTAAGAATTTGTTTCAAATAATAGAAAGCATCTTCCGGGTTTAAGTTTGTGTACATTTTAATTAGCATTATAATGAAATTGTACTGCATATATTTCATGTAGTTCATAAACTTTGCATATGAGTTAATCAGAAGTACTTCACCTTGTCGATGTGAATAGGTGTTCTATGGTAATAGCGTTTTATGATCCGTTACTGGTGTAATATTTCTAATTTCACGACTGTCATTGTGCTTGTGTTAGTGACCATGTAAAATCAAACGACTACTAAATAGAATACTTGCATCATCGTAGATAATGCGTATAAGCACGATGAATTGTTGTTACTGATGTTGGTTCCGTATTTCCTTACAACCGGCGAAGTGATATAAGCCAATCATGGCTACTGTTAAAGTAACCGAGCAGAAAGTTATTCTGTGCGGGGAATACGGAGTCGGAAAGACATCTATATTTAGACGTTTTGCGAACAATACTTTTGTAGCGAGTAGTGATCGAAAATCTACGCTGGGCCTCGATAATATTGACAAAGAGTACGTCGTTGAAGACAGACGAATACGGGTAACGTATCATATGTGTGTGTATACATGTACATATATATGCATGTATGCTGCAATTTTTTAAGTAATATTCTCTTTACTTACCATACATGTATATATAAATGATTTGTAGAAGATTGTTATATGGTTCATCTTTAATTATATCAACTACATGGTTAATTGTTTATAAATTTTCTTTGTATTGTTTAATATTATAGTTGCAATTATGGGATACTGGTGGTATGGAAAGAGTTGCATCTGTAACATCAAGTTACTATAAATTTGCGGAAGCTGCAATTTTAGTGTTTGCATTAGATAACTCTACATCATTCCACCTTTTGTCTCAACACTTGTTAGATATTGTAACATATGCTGAGAATGCAAAGATATTTCTTTGTGGAAATAAAAGTGATTTGGAAAGTGTTGCACCACAGGTTACAGATGCAGAAGTGGATCAATTCTGGTAAATTTAATAAAAATTTGATTAACAGGTACCGACAATTCTACAGTGCACTAATAATATATCATTTATTATAGTGAACAATGTCACAACTTAATATCTGGTATATATAAGACATCATGTAAAACTGGAGAAGGAATACATGAAATGTTTGAAGACATAGCTCAACACTTAGTTGAAGCTAATAGATCACGTATGGAATTGCATGATTTGGATAAAGACAGATTTAAAATTTCATACATGGATGAAGCTGCTGATCCGTCTTGCTTATGTTAAGCAATGGGTATTGAAAGATATTTGACAACAATGTTTTTATATTGTGACAAACTTAACACACAGCAATAAGGTGTGAGTAAGGATATCCTTTTTGTATCAAGTAATTCTTAAGGATGACTTTTCTATGAGGGAAAGTATCATGAATTATAAGGTGAGGAAAGAGAGGAAGTACTAATATGGAATTTATATACATTTATGAAGAATTCTAGACTTTTCATAAGTAATGGATTTTAAATAAAAATTTATTACACAGCGAAAAGTAATTTACTTAAATAGTCGCGATCTATTCGTGACTTACGATCGGTATCATTATACACTTAATCCACATTATCTACATAAACTGATAATCGAGATAATGTGAACAAAAGCCACTAGTGCTGAGACCATTTAATTGTTTTCAAATCAATTCCCTCTTGAACCATTTCCCATAATGGACTGCAAGAAAAGCAATTCAGATAAGCATTACTACTTAAGTACAACGCTTAATATTAATACTCGATGCTGAATCATAGCAAACGTCCGAAATTGAATCTGTTCCCTCCGTTTAATGTGACTATCGTGCATTTTTCATTCACGGCCAAATATACATAAATAAAATAAGATAATCCTGCTTTGAATAAATACTCATATTGTAACTTAGCCAAACGTACCTCATTTCCCGAAGCCTTTTAACATGGCGGATCGTATTCTCCGCAGTGAAGTCAACCTCTTCGATCGTCGTGAAGCGACCGATACCGAATCTATATCAACGAATAAAATAAATGCTAGAACATTATGTAAACATTAATTAATATTACGCGGCTAGTGTAACTTGCCTAATACTGGAATGTGCCAGATCTTCGGATGCTCCGATTGCTCTCAATACGTAACTAGGCTCCAAACTAGCGCTAGTACAAGCGGAACCACTACTCAAGGCAACATCTTTTAATGCCATTAATAAAGATTCACCCTCTACATATGCAAAGGATAAATTAACACATCCAGGATACCAAGCAACTTCGTCCCCATTACGTATAACATGTGGTAAATTTGACAGTATATTTTTAATTAAACGATTTGAGAGCATTGTGATATATTTGTGATCATACTGAAAATATACAAAATTTTGAATCTAGCATATGATTCAATGTGTAATGATTTTAATTAAACTTACCTCCATTTCTGACTGTGCCAATTCACAAGCTGCACCAAGGCCTACTACCAAGGGTGCTGGAACAGTACCACTCCTCATACCCCTTTCTTGGCCACCACCACTTTGAAGTGCTTCAACGCGAACTCTTGGTCTTCTTCTCACATACAAAGCTCCAATTCCTTAACATCCCAAATATAATTGCACGAAATAAAGATTAACTACCTGAAAACACTCTTTGATGTTTAGCATTACCTTTAGGGCCATAGATCTTATGACCACTGATTGACATTAAATCAATATTCATAGCATTGACATCAATTGGAATTTTTCCAATAGCTTGAGCTGCATCTGTATGGAAAAATACTTTCTTTTTCCTGGAAAAATTAAACCAATGGATACAGGGGGGTGTTTCATGATTTGAAAGTATTGAACTATAACATGTTTTGCTTTACCTACAAATAGCACCAATCTCTGCAATTGGTTGTTTTACACCAATTTCATTATTTACCATCATTATAGAGACAAGAGAAGTATCAGGTGTAATTGTCTCTTCTAGTTCATTTAGATCAATGAGACCATTCGGTTTTACTGGAAGATAAGTCACTTTAAAACCTTCTGCTTGCAAAGCTCTACAGGAATCTAATACGCATTTGTGCTCCTGTAGGAATAAAATTGTATGATAGTGCAATCATATAGAAAAATCATATTCACAGACAATTTTTAAGTTATTATTTAAATGTAGTAAACATACTGTCTGTGTTGTCACAATATGATTCTTTTTTGCCTTGTAGAACTTTGCTACACCCTTTACAGCTATATTGTTACATTCTGTTGCACCAGATGTAAATATTATTTCTTTTTTATCAGCACCAATTAAATTAGCTACTTGCTATTACAGATAAAATATTAGATTAGTTAATATGATAGTATCTACTAATTAACATACAAAAATTAATCATGAAACTAACATCGCGAGCAACTTCTACTGCTGCTTCTGTTTCCCATCCATACATATGTGTTCTGGAATGAGGATTCCCATAATGAGATGTTAAATAAGGCATCATTTTATCTAACACTCGTGGATCCTATGAGTAAATTATAAAAACTATTAAATTATGATACTAATACCTAATAAGGCATTTTATTAGGGTATAAGTACCAATGGTGTAGTTGCTTGGGCATCCAAATAAAGGGACCTCCCTTCGGCAGGTCCTCTTTTGTATTCATCGGTAATAACGGCTGTAATAAAATTAGGTATTTAGATACAAAAATCATTGAATCATTACCTGTAACTTCTGTATTTTATACTTACATTCAAAGTCTGTGACTTCTGTTAAATTTTGAAAACTGGTATGCAATGCGCGACATTCTTTAACGCGATTAAATGTTGATAAAAGATTTCTCGCCGGTCGAAACATGTTAATTCTTACAGAAACAGAAACACATTCAAATCATTTATAGAATTCGGTACTCGGCATGTTAAGCTCAACTAACCTAACCATGATAAATTCTGACTTTGTTTGAAACGATCATTTATACGTTTGAAAATTCCTACACAAATATCGTAGTTTCTTTCGTTTTTTGATAATGAAAAATAAAATTAGTTTAATATTTATTGACACAGATTAATTAATCTATCACTGCCAATTCAGATACTCAGAGAGACACACAACTTTGCAACTATGAGGAAAAATGATGCAACTCAAACACAACTATACTTATCACTATATACTTACAAAGATAGAAAGCTATTATTTCGTTCTAAGCGCTGAGAAGATGTTGGTATCAATTAATACTGATATTCTTGGAAACAGGTGAAGGCAGGTATTAAAAAATGTTTCTTTATTAAGTACAGTGTGTATGTGAAATTTATCAATTTGAATTCCTTCAAAGTTACAAAAAATAACTTAATGCGAGTATGAATCTTGCACGACAGATAAACGTAAGTGTACAAATTACGTAGAACACACTTATACATACAGACAGTTAATTTCAGGCATACAATATAACATATAGGCGTACAGAAATAATCACAATTGCAAAATACTGATTAGTGTCATGGATTCATTGACGATCCTTACAAAGATTTAACGAATCGCCAATGTCGCTAGACTGTTGTTTCTTGTGCAACGTTGTCATGTCTAACATTCCGCCAAAATCGGATTTAACGCTTGAGATCGACAAATCTTCTGTTCCTTGATATTCATTCGATCTATTCAACTTAGAACTATCATTCTGCAACTCCATTTTCTTTCGATCCGTTGAGTAATCTTCCGGAAAGTTTCTACAAGATTCCGATGAACCAGTAGTCGTCTTAAATGGCGACGGTATGGGGTCCACCATTGCGAAATCGTTAGCCTTACGCTCGCTCCCGTCGATGTCTCTTGCAGGCGAAATTTTCCCAAGTGGACCGAACAAATTCGCAATGTTACGCATATAAGTGGATGGCGATGGTGACGATGTTCTAGTAAAATCTGCGATAGAAAATCCGGAGAGTTTCGCTAGGTCAGCGGTAGAAAAATTTGCTAGTTTCGATAGGTCTGAGAACTTCGAGATCTGTTGCGTTATGTCGGCCAAAGGGAAATCGGATGCCGCGGACAAACGCGATTTATTGACACCGTTATCTGCCCCGAGTGGATTGGGCAACTTTGAAAAATCGGACGGTGGATAATCGTAGTCACATTTCGTATTTTTTACGGAGACTGTCAATTCCCCGGACTGAAAGCTGGGCATCACTTCCGTGGGTGATATGTGTTGTTTAGACGCTGCCGTATTGCCATCTTTTATCTGCGTGATTGACGCTGTATCAGTACCTAAAATGCTGTCCTTTTTAATACTATCTCTAGACGTGGATGGCTGCATTACAAAAGGCTTCGATGTGGACGTAATAATGGCACTATCGGGCTTAAAATTCACAGGAGTGAGGAAGACAGCTGCGTTGTTCGGTGTAAGTCCAACTCCCGGTGGTACCGAAGGAACAAGAGGTTCTGAGACTGGTACCAATGGAAATTTCATCGCAAGAAATTCTGACGAAGTTCCATCTTCAGAACCGGGGCAAATCATCTCTCTAATAACGTCCCAGTAGGAACCGTTCGATCTATTTCGTCCCGGTAACTTGGACGCGAGCGAACACTGTTAACATAAATATAGGTTAGAGGATCGGTTTCGAACATTTTTATTGTACTTCATTCATTGTGAACTTACTCTTAAACGTTCGAGATAAGTGGTATTGTTATTAAAATTGGCAGTAAAGTCAATTCCTCCTTCACTTCTATAATACTCTATACATCTTCTCTGTAATAACATGTAATATTATAGCATGTTATTCTGGGTGATAATAACACTATATAATTCTGCACTTACAATTTCTTCTAATGTGTCTTGAGAAAGAAAGTGCTCTTGAGATAAAGTGTAGCTTAATAGCATTGGTCTTGGATATTCATGAGGCCGATTTTCAGGAGGTGGTAAAGACCAAAATACATTGAAGTTTGACTCATAGCAATTCCCATCAGTATTGTAAGGAGCTATAACAAAAATATCAGTTTGTAATCCATTTAAGTTCTTAGAACACAACACATGTGTATACTTACAGCATATTAATCCCACACATGGAGTATATCCATTGTCACTAGGTCCCTTCATTTTAATCTGATAATCTAACTGAGAATCAACATCTCTCAGTGAAGGAGAAGCATGGGACCTAGGATGAGAATGATACCATCCAACTAATGTAACCCGCTTCCATTCCATAGCTCTTGCAATTTCAGACTCAACTGCAGCTGCAGCTGATTTATCTTTGCCAGAATATCGACATGGAAAGGCAGTTGTGATTGATAAATCTATAATTAAGGAAGGACTGCATTCTAGTTTTGGTAAATATATATTGTTTACTCAATGTTTTGTGTATAATTACTGTGTGAATTAATATCCCAATGTCCTCCTAGATAGCCACAGACTTCCTTGTCTGTTAAATGGCAATGTAAATCTACTAACAAAGCTGCTGTAGTAGTTATTGTTACCAAAAAGGGTTGTATTTTACCCAAGGTACTGAAGGAAGTAAGTTCTACCATGGTACTCATGTCCCTAAAACACATAGTACTGTTAATGTAGTTTTAAGAAACGTATATCTTATTATTACTTCTTACATGGCGTGACTCCTTATTCCAAGATTTGCATGCTTCACTGGTACTCTTACTACTTGCACTGGAGGACTGGCATGAATCTTCTCAGGACTTTCTTCCATAGGCTCCGCAGTTGTTGTTTCCATTTTAGCTTTTTTATTTACCAGTATACAAATCAAATGGATAGAATAGGCATTAACTAGTTTATTAATATCATATCATAATTAATAACTACAAAATACACTACATTGCACAATCATAATACGTAAAATTTAACTAAGCATTAGAAGAAGTATGTAAATACTGTATAATAGTCATCATTCTGTGTATTATTGCTCAAAACCTAACTGAACCTCATATACACTATTATTATTGATAGAAGTCTCACTGTAACTTGGGTTAGGTTCTAGGGAATTTCTTTTAGGCACTGCAGCATGAAAAGACTATACGTAGGGTACGTGGCACAGTGTACCAACTTAAATGACGCTCACTTCAATACCGTAAACATGGCGTTTACCTTGTGGACACTTTTTGAGGCAACTTTGCTCTGTTTAAACGCCGTTTGCGTTTTAAATGAAGAGAGGTTTCTCGCTAAAGGTGATTTTCTTAAATATTCTCATTAGATTTGCTATCGATTTACATAAAAAGTTGAATGATAATATTCCGCTGACAGCGGCCATAGGTTATAGAATTTTGTTGTGTTGGCTTCATGCCAAAGTACCATTACTTGTTGTTTTCTTTATGTTAGAATAAAATGTTGCACATTTAATAAAACTTTTAAATTTTTTAGTTGGTTGGGCATCATGGCAGAATGTTCAAGGATTTGGTGAGAGACCTACAGTAAAAGCACAAATGCTAAACTTAGTTAGATCTATAAGAACAGTGGCAAGGGGTAAGTTTAAATATTTTCTATAATGATTATAATGCTTACTATTATATTCTTTAACATTTATACATACAATCTATTTTTCTTTGTTTCAGTTCCATTAATATTACTAAATATCATAGTGATGGTCATGAAACTGGTATTGGGATGATTGTTGATGTAAATAAAAAAAACTGGGTGCTGTGAGAAGCCAAAACTCATAATGTATATAAACAGCATTATTAAATTCAATTATTTGTACCTTTACAAGAAAATCGGAAGTATTCCATTTATTAAAGAATAGGGATCAATTTCTAATAATATCTTCCTATAATTTTTCAATCATTTTCTAGCTTTATAAGGAAATCCCTTTTATATCCTTATTTCTCTTAATTTTCCGTTTACTCTAGCCACCCAACAGAGTTTCACATCACGAACCATTTCCGTAATTGACCAACATCGCAAATTCTCTTGTTTTCTTTAACAGTGCCAAGCCATTTACTAGTATTTTCCATTAAGAACAATCCTTGATTAACATTTAATCGTTTGAATACGTCGAGACCTATTAGACCCACGTGCCCATTCAACTTCCGTTTGAACTATGTAATTCTTAAGCGCCCAATTGTTCTGCTGAATGGACGCTGAATCATAAATCAATCGGCAGCCAGACCGTAAATTATCATCGGCATCGGCTGGAAGGTGTAGCCTGTAACTTCTCTTCCTCTTTGTGTGTTTAGGGAGGAGGTAATGGTGCTCAGACGGGAAGCCGATGATTTTGCCGTAACTTTCTCCCCTTCCTCGCTTTCCCGGGGTAGAAGCATCTCCGTGCAATCGATGGACGTGCCAAACCGCGATGCATCTACATTCTGCACGGTATTTTCCTTTCCAAATTAATTGTTTTCTAAACAGAAGCCATAACTCTCGTCGCATTTCAACGATACTTCCATTACAATGTTCGATTACTCTTAACGCTCAGGGTCTTTGTACAAGGTTGACTTTCCCTCTAAAACTGATCCTACTTTATTATCTGCGAGCATACCTTGAAATAAAGGAAGTAAGAAACGGTTTTTATATTACCTCAATCAATTTTCTATACGAGAATTTAATTTGCACGGTCACGGTTTGATAAAAAATTCCTTCTACGTTTACTCACGGCGCTTGAACCTGTAAAACGAATGTACTACGGTTAAACCAACAGCTCCACATTCATGATCGCGATTAATCTACGACGCATTAGCGGCGGATTAGCTCGTTACCGTGAATCCGAACGGAAATAGGAGTATCATAACGGTGCGGTCATTCCCGAGCCGATCTCCTTCACCGCAGACACCGAGACGGGCAGATCCCAGGTTGTGCAATCGGCTCGTCCGATTCATACAGTTTCTGGCCACGCACGACCCCCTTAAAATTACACGGTTTTTTGCCCATTGCCTCAGCTGCAACTGCGACCTGCATTCCCCGAACTGTTTCACGCAACTCTTATCGTGTTACATAAGTTACCCTCGCCGGGAGTCTCCTCCTCTTACTCATTTTTCTCGTCACCAATTTCATCCCAGCCGCAATTAGTTTAAATAACACCGAGCGGAATATCATTCTAATTCTTCAAACAACAGATGCGTTGCGTAACATTCGGAATACGATTGCATTCATAATCGACCCGAATGCAAAGAAACAGTAAAACATGAACCGCAATAAATATCAACGCTGCGTTCCCTGTAGTCTTAATACATCAGAAACATTAACCGTCGAGGTAAATTTTCATTTACAGTGCACTGCAACGAGAAATATGTATTTTACATAAATATATGCAGTCCACTGATAAGAAAATACAACGTCGAACAGTTCCAATCGAGACTTTCAACAATTACAAAAGAATCGGCGAGTGTTGCAACGTGGCGAGCGATAGTGTGTCCGTTGAATAACTCGAAATACCGGCGCACGTTGTAGAAGTGATTATTAGAGGCACTGAAGATATAATTAGAGAAAGAGATAGCGAGGAAGGACATCAGAGGAACTTTCTTCGGCGATCGGTGGCCTCCTTCTTTCCCCCGATTATCTGTGAATCCTTCTCCTTTCCGAAAAGTGTGAAAGGATGACAGCGTAATCACGTGGCGGTGCCACGGCGTGGCGCTATCTCTTGATTACCGTTCGCGGAAGACGCTGATCTAATTGACGCCGGGGTAATTGCCGGCTGGTCCCATAATTATACTCGCCTAAACAACAGTCCTTTAAAAACACATCCGTCCATGTTAACGAAGGCGAACGCGTTAGGCAACGCGCGTTATTCCGGTCAGAAGCTTGCGGCCGCGGAAACGGGATTAGCGAAAGTATGGAGCTGCCAGGAGGAGCCAACGGGGGCCATTGTTGAACGAGCAGGTTTTACGAGCCGGCTGGTTCGCTCGACAAATCCTCTTCCCATAATTGGCCGAGCGGATCGCATTGTGCGTCACCGTGCCCGCGTTTTTCTCTCCTTTCACACGACAACGACTTCGCCGTGCACACCGGCTGATGCCTCTTCCGATTGCGTGCGCCGCGTGGAAAAATGTCGGTTATACATCTTTTTCAGCGTAAGGGGAAACGGCCGCTCGTAGAGGCATCAGTACCCTTTTGCCTTCTTTCCAACGGATCCGCTTAATTGCCGTCAATTCCGCGCAGGAAATTGTGAATATATTCAATAATCGTTTAATCATTGCCCGAGCTTCTCTGTGGATGCGGCATAAAATTTTTGATTGTATTTATTACCTCTATGAATGACTCAGGAAGTATATGTTTATTAATATAATTGTATTGTACTGATGTTTCACTATTAGCTTTAGGAAGTATATATTTTAATCAGAAGATTAAATCGATTGAATCGATGATGATAATCTGAGGAAGAATTAGCCAATTTTTCCGATGTAATTCAGAATTTGGAAAGTGTACGGCAAACTGAGATTGCGCTGAAACTTGGAAAGATTACTTTGTGTAGATTATCTGCACGGGTTCAACTTCGATAGATTTCATTCCGCGGAATTGGAGCACGGATCCCACTGTGCCGTGCTCGCCCGTTTTTCTCCTTTCGCACGGCTTCAGGCTGACAGGCCAAGCGCGTTTATGGATTATGCACGGCTCTTACAAAATTCCACGGAGAGTCCCACAGTTCCTCTTCTTCTCTCCTTTCCCCTTTCTCGGCCCCGCCATCCCTGGGCCGAGCCGAGAAGTCGCAGCACTTTCCCCGCTGGACGTCGTACATACATAAGTCTTTTAGAATGGGTGAATCGTTGATAGACCGATTTCCTTGGTGTTCCGAGAACCAACACTTTCCCGAATTCAATTATTCAAGACCTGGCCGCTGGAACCCTGTATTAGGCTCGCGCCAGCTGTTATTCGCAGGTGTTGTCCTTCTACAGAGCGCGAGACGAAAGAGGACAGAGCGTCTGGAATATATTTAGACCGGCAGGCTCTTTGAGAAAAAAGCGGATAAAGTTAATTTTAATTAAAGCGGATAGAGGATATCGCTTTTTTTTCCAGCGGGACGTGCGATCAATGCTGACAAATTGCACGTACGATCCGCACATCCTAAATTCTTTCCCTCGAAAGCAATTTCCTTGCTCAACCGGCAGCAGTGAAATTGTTGAACACAGGAGAACACTCGCGGTAATGATTTAATTTAGCCGAGCCGTAGGTGCTACGCTCAATCTCCGTCACTGCGAGTCCGAATTGCGCCACCCTCGCATTGTCTTCGCCGGTTACCTAATTCAGGCGCTCATTACCCATTTTCTAATTGCTCCTTCAAATCTCTGTTCCCCGTAATCGAATTTCCAGCTGTATCTGCAGTCATCGTCGAACTGACTGCTTGGTTCCTGATTATCAGATCATTAGCCCTCCGAGATAACGACCATTAACCGGAATCGTCATCCCCCGCGACATCCCTGATAATGGGAATTCCCGGCGGAGGATCTTAATCGTTCCGTTACACGAGGAATTGCGTAAGCAACGAAATCTAAATACGCCCGAGCGATTTAACGCCCCGTATCGCGATTCGTTAACCGACCGTTAAACGCTTCGCGCCAGGCGCGTCGGCACGGCCGGCTTTCAAAACCGCCCGATAAACCGGATGACCGAGAAAACGATTAATACGGCGCGAGGTGTTGCGCAACGGATCGATGCTCGGCCGTGCATCAGAATTTCCCGGGAATGCTTTTTCGCTTCTCGCCGAGAGATCACACGGTTCGCAGGATCCCGATGATCAAAGGTGGGGATCTTCTCTCTCGCTTTTTCTCCCTCGAATTCCTGGCCTCTGCCCGGCCACTTTCGAATCTCTGACCAGTGGTCTCCTTTTGCAAGCGTCCGCTAAACGCACTGCTCGCGAGGCTTTGCGTCACGTCCAGCGGAGATGATCGTGGGCCCCCGGGGCCTGCTAACGCTCCCAGCCGATCGACGCGGTGAAAGGAGAAAGGTGGCTCGACGATTGAGAAACGGAGGAAAAAAAGCGTCGTCGATTCCTCGCTGCAAGGAGGAAGTAATACGAGACGTAAAAATGTCAGTGGGATGAACCGCGGACGTTGCCGGGGTCACGCGATTGGTGCCTCTAGATTCAGTACGCTCCGTTGGACGGGAAGACCAAAGGAGAAAGACAGAGTAAGGACGAGGAAGCGGGCGAATCGAAGCGGAAGTCGCTTAGACGCGTCTTCGGGTATGGAATGATGATTGAACTAGTCGATCGGTTCAACGGTGGCGACGTTTTTTTTTATTTTTTTCTACAAAAAAGCCTTTATACAAGTATAAAAAAGATTGCGTGGTTAAGGAGTAGCGTTCAAACATATAAAAAAATAGTGTGTATCTCTGTACGTGTGTGTACGTGTGTGTCTCCGTTGATCGGCGACCTGCCGACGCGGCTCGGGATGTTGCTTACTCCGGTGTTTTTGCATTGTTTCGTTCTCCTCCGGGTTACGATGTCGGCCAGGTCCGGCGAAGTTAGTTCAAGTTCCTCCTCGAGTAACGGGTACAATGGAAACCGCGCGGCGGACGCCATGCGGAAAGTCGCGAGTGTGTACGTGTGATTGTATTTACAAAAGCGGCGCGTGTATCCGCGCCGACCACGGCTTCGGCTTCGACTTCGGGCTTCGGCTCAACTGGCTCTTCTTCTCTTTTACAATTTCTTCCTTAATAATCTACTTCCGGGGGGCGGGGGTGCCGTTCTAACCTCGGCACCCCGTATATCGCGCGACTTAAGTATTGCTTTATCACTTAAGGGTATCGATCCTTCGCGGCCACGACCGCGGCGACGAAATTGATTTCACGACGGACATCCGGTGCGACACCTCGTCGACGCCTCGGGATCGTTAAAGCTTGGCCTGCCGCGCCGACGTTCAAGTTCACTCCGGAGCCCTGACCCGTTGAAGCGACGACCCTTTTAATCCTCAACGAGTTAGCGGCCCGGAGTCCCGATTATTCCGCACGCAACCCCATAGACTCCAAAGAGGATCATGTCCCGTTGAAGCGACGACGATTGGATTTCAACGAGACAGGATCCTGGGAATCCGTCGATTCCGATCTTATCCCGTGCGTGCACCTTGACTTCTTCGTCTACTTCGTTCCTCGAACTTCGATACGTCGGAACGACGGCCTTCGATCTGGCTGGGGACTTCTCTCCCCGTTGAATCGCTGCTTCGAAAGTTCGACCTGAGCTGATGGAGTTGTTCCTTAACGATCTGCCCTCCGCGCGACGATCTTCCGAGCGGGTTGTGTTTTTTTAGGGAAACGTTTCACTGGGAAGTTTCTGCGGTAAGTGTCCAGCTTCTTCTGTCTTCCGTTCACGGATCGATCGTGATGCTTTCGGTTGATCACGGTGAGCTCGAAAGATAGTCGCGGCGGTCGACTGGGTGTCTCCACTCATTCTCATTCGCTTTCTCGCTGTCTCGTTCGCTCCCTCTCTCGCTCTCCCTGCATCCAATCTTTGTTGTCAGACGACCGCTTTAGAACGGTGCACCGTAGCTACCGCTGGGCCTTGGTGCCCCGTAGGTACTGCTAGGTCCGCTGGGGTAGCCACCGGGCCCATGAGTGATTTGGTTGAACTGGGCCACCTGGATGGCTTGTCTGATTCCTTCGAGATCGATGCCCACCACGCGGGTCTGGTAACCGGGCACACCGTACGTGGAGCTGGGCACGCCGTACTGGGATGACGGGGCGCCGTAACTGGAGCTAGGCGCGTATCCGCCGCCGCCGAATCCACCGGTCTGCTGAGCTTGCAGCTCCTCCTTCAGCAGGATCTGACGGATCTGCTCGAGCAACGCTCCGTCGACGGAGGCACCCTCGTTGGTCTGGTAGCCGGTGGAAACGGCTGTGTAACCGCCGCCACCACCGCCACCGCCAAGCGAGTAGCCACCGCCGCCGCCGCCGCCGCCGCTTGGCCTGCTATAGCTGTAGCCTGATGAGACTGGCGGTTCGGCCAGGGCGAACCCTGCCAGGCCGACGATCATACACTGCAACAGAGATATTGATAGTTGAGTAGGTGCTTCTTTTCGGTTCGTTTCATATACCTTTCACGGGGTTGAAGGTTTAACGATTTAAAGTTAGAGCTAATGGGAACAGTGAAGTTTATCTTCATCGCGGCAAATGATATTGTTCTGATAATACACGGAATTATGAAGGTATTAGAGCAAACGATTGATAGATTCAAGGAAAATCGAATGGAAAGCTGTACTAAGAACTTCCGGTCGGCGAGTTTACTCGTGGGAACCAACCCCGTTGATCGAGACGTTGAACGTACCCGCAGCAAACGGAAAAACTGAAGCAAGTTCATTGAGGCGTAGTCGAAGTTAAAGAGAAGCCACGGTAGTAAGGGAAAGCGGTTCGCGTTTCCTTCGACGGGAAGTCCAAAAAGCAAAGGAGAAAATGAAATTCAAGCAGAACTTCCGTTTAGAAAATCGGTTAAGAGACACTCTCGACGGATCTGTGTACAATCAACTGATAGTCCTGCGGAAACAATCCACTCGATACTTCTTACACTTGTCCACCGAATTACTATCTTCCAACACTCACTCACTCACACACAGACACACACACACACACACCCATACTCTCTCTTTTTCAAATGTTCTCTGTAGGGTTATTAGATGAATTCAGCGTGCTTACCGCGATCAGAGGATTCATGTCGGCTTCTGCGATGCCGCTTGGTTCTGTGACTCTGTGGAAGGTAGACCAGGGTCCTTTATACCCCCACGAGAAGCAGGGGGATACTTGGGGCCCCCACGAAGAAGAGACGGGGGCCTCTCGAGTGAGAGTAATTCAGCTGTGAGACGATTCTCTCCTCCCCCTCCGCCCGCCAGCGCTCCTCGCCAAGATCCTACCCTATCCTTTCAATTGTGCCGGGTTCTCTCTTTCTCCGGCGGACGCCTGAACGGATGGTCCTCCTTCCGAGCGATCCTCTTACCCTCTCCCCCTGCCGTGTGACCAAAATCGCCGGGCCGGTTGCGAAACGTGCCGTCTCTCGCCGCCGGTCCCAACTTTCGTCCTAGACCTCGGACTCCTTCTGGCCAGTCCTCGAATCCTCAGACGATTTCGTCAATCGTCTTTGACCCGGAGCGTTCTGCGCTTCGGGCCCGATCTTGGCCCAGGAATGTAATTGCGTGGCGCAATGCCCACTTGGGACGCGTTTCATGCGTGATTTCTTTTTCTCTTCGATTCTTTAATGACGGATTACTCGGGTGTCCCCCGTCGCGAGGAATTCGTAAGTGGGTTGCCTCTGATCTCCGGTGTCCATGGGGTTCTAAGAATTCGACAGAGAGGTTTCGCAAGCGAGAAGCTTCAGCTTCGGTCGATTCGTACGCCGTTCGGCGATTACGCGCGGCGAGATGCTATTGGAATATCCGTCGTTGAAATTCCACCGGTGCCCCCACGAAATACACGTGTCGCCATACATGCAACATTAGAAGTAGACCACGGGTACGCGGGCCAGTTTTTCAGCCGTGCTCGTACGTTTAACCCACTTCGCAGCAATTTGCCGGCACGGCGCTAAAAACGAGATAAGCCGCTCGCGGTTTTTACCGGCGCGGGTTTATCTGCCGCTTTAGTGGGAAAACGTGTCTGCCAATACTCCGGCTAGACGTTTCAATATTTCCCCGTGCATCCTCGCGAGCGCAGGTGCATCGATCGCATAAATGGGAGAAGTAACCCGCGGTGATAAAACGTACATCTTGAATATCCGACTCTCTTGCAATAAAGATAATACTAATCCCACCGGCGAGAAGCTTCTCCCAATATTTGCGAAGAGCATCAGCGAGCATTTCTCTGGAAATTTTACTAAACTCATCACCCACGCCGCGTGGATATCTGTAGCGATCTACCTCGCTCGCGAACACCCGCGCCGAAGTTTCCCGTGTTCCTTTGTGCCCGTTTTACGTAACCCGCTTGCGCAACCGGGTGAAACAAAAAAATTGTCGCAGGAACGCTGACGATCGAGTGCCACCCGGTAGATCGTCGGCCCTCGCCTCTCCAGGGGGAGAGTATCAGGAAGAAAAGTACTCGGTCGGCGTTGTATCATCCTGGCGGGAGAGCTTCCTCTCGTTTCGAGAGTAATCATCGTCGTCTACGGTGTCCGTGCTCGTTTCCTTCGCACACAGACGGTCCGTGCTGCTCGCGCACACCGCGTGAAATATCAGAGAATACACCGGACGCTGTCCAGGTTTGGTCCGCGATGGGCGATGCTACCGCGAAACGAGAGGGAAAACGCTTTCTTCGGTGTAGAATTTAATTATCCGGCTCATGAACTCTCGACCCACTTCCCGCCGCGGCTACCGTTCAATGTTGCTGTCATCCCTCGCCTCTTCCCTTGCCTCTGTTCGCCGGGTTTGCCCCATTTCCGGGCGGATTCGCGCGTTGCCCCCGTCCGCCCGGCCAGTCGTCGTTCCGGTGCTTCTACTCGCGCGGACGCGGCCCCGGCGGATTTCAGTGCGCCACGCGATTGCGGGCTTTTCGCAAACGGCGAGCCAAGTTCGAGGGAAACGGGTTATTGGAAAATGATTTTCATAATGCTCTTGGTCCGATCGCAAGGATATCGAGACCCGCAGACGCTCCAGTGTTGCGAAATACGTGCCGCTGCCTCCTCTGGGAAAAACGAAGATTATCTTTCCCTGGAGAACGTAAATCATTATATGTGACATCTGTACTGTGCACTTCTTTCATCTATTCGACCGGTGAAAGTGATTTTCTTTCGGTACCTTCGAAGTTCTCGGGGCGGAGACAGCCCTCGGAGTGAATATATGATTCTTTTCATTAACTGCTAGCTCGTGAATCCTTGCGTTTCGTCGTATGAACACGGCGGGAAAGAAAGAATATAAATATTTTGTAACGGCTGTTTTCTCTTTATGATATTGACAATAAATCAGGTAACTCCGAAAGAGGAATCTCCGTGTTTCCCTTGCGTTCCGTAGATAAATTGGTACTTTTCGGGGCCGAAGTCACGATTAGAAAACTCGAGGAAAAGAATAGAGGTATTTACGAGAGTCCGGTGGCTATCAAATGTCTGGAATTCATAATGATATTGGGACGCTGTTCTGGCGTAGCAATTTATCATCGACGACAATAAATAAATTCCCGTCCATTGAACAGGAGAAAGCAGGAGGCTGGGCGTAACGCCTTGCTCCTCACGAAATTGCTCGTCGAATCGACGCAAGGTTCCCGCGTCGTGCGCAGCGTCTTGCAACGATTTAAAACCGTGACCATATACAGTGAACCGCAAGCTCTCGTAACACTCGGGGATTCCTGAAATCGCGGAGCGGATGAACGGGGAATCATCGGCTCGCCGAACGGGACATTCAAATGTCGCCGTTTCTCCGTGGCATCGGCATTCTTTCCTCGCTTTTACAAAATTGAAATGAAAAAGGAACACGACGGCTTACTTCGTCGCTGAATACCTCGAGAAACGGTCACGTGGGATCGGATTAAATATTGATCGGACGGTAGCGTCGTTCTAGGCCGGAGCAAGAGTTTCGATTTCTTTGATCGCATGAATGATTCCGCGGGGCCTGTCGATCCCAATCACTCGTAATATTCCCGAGCCCTCGAGTCACGTCTCGACATGTACTGCATCCGAGTTTCTCGGATATTAATGCTGCAGGGTCGCGTGGAAGAAGGGGAATCCGTGGGCCTGGGGCTTGACTTTCCCTTCAGCTTCTCTCGGACCGTCTTCTTCCTCTTCGACGCTGCTTTTCGCGTTCCTTCTGCTGCAGCTCGGAGAAATGTTTCGATCGAGATCAATACTTATAACACTAGCTTTACGGGCATTTATTGTACAGTTTATTCTATTGTTCCTGGGGAAGTTGATATTCGTTCATTTAGATTTTGGAAATTGTAGATGTAGAAATAGACAATCAGTATTCATATTCGTGTCACTGGATCAACGAAAACCGATTAAAACATTCACCTAATAATGTTTATAAAATTCAATCTGCGTCAAATTGACGCGTTTCGTAAACCTAGCGATAATCGAACCCTTGGAAGCGAGTAATTTAAGCATTAAAAACGATGTATTTAAAATCTGTTGTTACTAATTTATATATTTAGAATCTGTCATTATCTATACATCTAGAATCTTTTGCTACTAATTTATACATTTGGAATATTTTATTAATTTTATAATCGAGCCCTTGGAAGCGAGTAATTTAAGCATTAAAAGCTATGCATTTAAAATCTATTGTTACTAATTTATATATTTAGAATCTGTCATTATCTATACATCTAGAATCATTTGCTACTAATTTATACACTTGGAATATTTTATTATTAATTTTTCGTATACTAAATGCAAGAAGCTTCATGTTCGAATTATAGGGTTTCTACGTAGCATCGCTGAAAAGGAGCTCGAAGATTGAATTTCACAATCGAAATTCAACTTCTGCGTCTTAAAGTTTCTTCAACATCATCCGGGCACGCATTAGAACAGCTACGCGCCTGTAGTACCGGAAACGCTTTTGGATAGACACTTTTGCTTCGTTAAGGAGCGCATCGCTCATTCCAACTTTCCTCGCAGATACAAGATAAAAGCGTCGCCCGGGTAATTAAGAATTTTACACAACAGCTTGATCACTCGTTTGCCTGAGTAATTAAGGTGTATAGGAAGCTGGCGCAGACGAGAGTCGCAGGGATCCACCAAGTTGTCCCTGTTTTCGGCAGAAATCCCGCGTCATCGGCGGGAAAGAAAGTGTTGAACCCCGTTATCCGCGCCATCGGCATTGCTAGAATCTTAAACGATTCGGCGTGACCGAGCATTCGCGGCGTTAAACAGTTTATGGGGCAGACCGGCGGATAAGTTACGTCGAAATTCCTCGAGGCAAAGGTTTTACGCGGATGTATCCGGCATAAATGCGCGGCGCGTTGCGGGAGACCGCAGGAGGCACGCGAACTTCGCGTAGGACGCGTCTCGAGTCGCGAGACAAAAAGATGTTCTAAACGTGTAAACGAAGTCCGGCATGATCCGCGGCGGGTGAAAGGCTGCGAATTCGAAGTGAAAGGTGAAAGGAAAAATAATTTCGTGCGACCGTTTAGAAAATTCGGTGTTTGCCCCGCGGTGCGCGGCGAGTCGCCGCGGAAGCGTCGGGATTCGACGGAACATTACGGAATCGTCGGTAACGGGTGCGCGACTGTTACCCGACTTAACCCGTCCGCCGCAGCAAAATGTCCATAAACTTCTGCAAACAATGCGGGACGCTTGACATATTACCATGCTAATGAGGATGTGTGATCGGCGTAAATGTTTGCCGTGCGACGCTGAATAATAAGCGGTTCTGCGGATCTCGGCGCCCGGTGGCCGATTCGTCGGATAGTTTGCAAATTTATGGCGACCGCTATATAAAATTCATGAATATTCACAAACCGCGGCAACACCGTGCGCGGGATATACGTGAAATTTGTACATATGTCCGTCCGTATCTCATCGGTGGTGATAGGAAGATATATTACTTTCACTGTTATGTACGATTTATTCTTTCCTTATCTATTTGGAATTCCGTTAAAGGAGAGCCCAGAAGAACCACTCGTTAGCGATGTACCGGTAACAGAATTGCGCAAAATTGCTTACGAGAAAGGGAGCAGCTGCGTTTAGCTGGACTCTTGCGTAACGGAGGATGCCTCCCTTCTCGAGGCTCTTGCCTCCATCACAGATTTACTTTAAGTCGGTTCGAGCATTTATTGTGTATCAACGTGAAATGTGTTTGGGCAATTATTGCTTTAGCTTCTTGTGTTGTTCAATGTTCCACTCGTCGTTGCTGTAC